TACAGCGTACTTTAAACACAAACCTACACAAAGCAGGAATAGGCTAGTCATCAGATAGACCTACAAAATATTGTTTCTCTGGCACAATGAGTGTGACAATGCCTCTGTACTTTGGCCACCTCTATTCTCAGGCGAGTCTTGTGGCTATTCTCACCCGGTGCGCGTTCACCAAATTTTGCGTTCACCCTAAACCACAGAATTCTACACTGTGATAACAGAAAAATTGTAGACTTCTGTGCCGTGAACAAACGTTCCATTACAACTGTAGCCTACTAAAATTAAAAAGCGTACAGTTTTGTCTGTGGACAGTGGAGAGAGAGAGAGAAAGAGAGAGAGGAGTAGCGCGAGAATTTCCGGGCAAAACAAAATGGCGACCCGCGTAGTTCGGCTCGATTCGAAAAGTTAAATAGCCGTAGCATCTTTGTAGACAACCAAATTAATTTACTTTTGTGTTTTAACATCATTTTTTAACTTTGTTTTGGTCAATTTGATCGTCCACACCGATAGACAGTATGGTAGGCTACTATATCTAGATCTAGATTCTATGAATTTTGATAGGGCCTTCTTGGTCTAGGTCTAGATCTAGATCTAGATATCTAGATATCTAGATCTAATCTAGATTAGATCTAGATCTAGATATAGATCTAGACTATCACTAGATCTACTATGAATGAGTGAGTATGATTACTATGATAGAGGCTACCCATGGTTAATGTTGGCCATGGTTCTTGCAAGAGAATGAAAGGTGAATGGAATAGATTGAATAGAGGTGAGTGAATAGGCTAATAAATTGAACGAAGTGACTATTTCTCCGAACGTTAGGGAAAATAAACTTAAACTCTATTTCTCCAAACGGTTTCCGTTCTCGAGATTTTTTTGTTATTTGCGAGATTTAGGCGTCATCTTTCATTCTGCCATTCTGTGAGGACTGGAACTGGAGTGAAGCATTAACAAATTTTTTTTGCATCGAATGTCGAATTCAATTTCTAGAATCTAGATCTAGATCTAGATCTAGATCTAGAGCTTGAGATTTTTTAAAATGTCTGAATATCAGACCTGTGACTCATCCCGATTTAAATGGGATATCCTTAATGGGGAATCCCGATTTTTTTGCCCCTAATCTCAAGCATCCTGATTTTCCGGATTTCGATCGCCAGTCCTGATTTTTTGTCATTGCGACCGATTCTTAGAAAAAAATATAAAAAGTTCTGCAATCTCTTTTGGTTGGAAGCACTGGTTGGATTTTTTATCGGCAGGAACTTGGAACGCTACTTTCTAAAACATCTTTGCCGAATCTAGTAGAGGACTCACGCACGTTATTTCAACTGAAATAGACCGTTATACTGCCGTTGCTTTAAAAGCAAGCTTCGTCTGAATTCTGGTTAGTCGGGCCCATCATCAAGACCTGTCAGTGAGTCAGTGGAGCTTTCAAATGCTCATTCGCATCACGTGACATGACCTCGTACGTGTGAGTAGCGCGTGTGTCGGGGACCGTCCGCTGTCGGGGTCAACAAAGTTCATTCACACCGGTCGCATTGGTCGAGGTGTTTTTCGGGACTTAACCAGTGTGGACAACCGGGGAGGGGTAGGGGATATTGTTTTGACACTTGGGCTTAAAGTGCGTGCCGTGATACATGTACTAATTGAGGATAAAGGAATTTTTTAAAAAGAAAGAAATGAACAACCTTGGTGCTATCTTTTTTTTCGGGGGGGGGGGGGTGCCTTGAGTGTATATGTGATAGAAATCAAACGTTGTTACTATATTATATGAAAGCGCTGGCTTTTTGCGTGGATGATTAGAGATGTGTCAGCCATTTTCAAGACTACGAGAGTTTCAAGTTTCAGCTTTACTGCAACCTGCGCTCCCCCGGTCTATCCAACTTCGACTCGAGTAATGCTGTCTTTCAGTTTTCCCTCTATAAAAATAATTTAGAGGCCCAAACGTGAACTTATTCCTGCAAAAGTTTTCTCTTGCCTCATAAAAGGGAACCAGGACCCCACCTTCCCCCGGTACGGTACCCCTTATGACTGATTTGCCGTTGATCCCGATTTTTTTCACCAGATCCTGATTTTTTAACTCTAAAATCCTGATTTTTAGATTTCATAGAGTGGCAGGTCTGGAATATTCAGATACTTCAGTTGTGGTTGGGGCAACATTCCCGGACTATACTTCATTTGAAAATACCTTCAAAAGGTACTGCCGGACAACAAGACTGATCGACCTTGACAGTAACTTATTTTGCATTTAGTCTCCCAGCAAAAACTAAAATCCTTCATGTAAAAAAAAAATTGCTTCACGCCCCCCCCCTCCCGCCAACATGCCCTGTTTACACAGACACACAGAAACGCGCACACACACACACACACACACACACACACACACACAAAATCTCTTGAAAACTCCTTGAATTTGAGGAATGTTCTTGAAAACTCCTTGAATTTTGCTGGATCAGACATGCGCAAAATTTTTGTCGAAAAATCGTAACTACGATTCCTTTCAGACAAGTGTAGGCCTATTGGAAAGGCTTTTGGCATGCATTTCTTCACCAAATGTGCTTGAGTTTTTTAAATTTCTCCTTGAAATCTCCTTGAATTTGGTGGGGAGTTCATGGCAGGAACCCTGATATATATGCATGCTATTATTAATGATGTTAAAACTATTAAGTGTTATTCTTATTAATTATTAATATTGATAGTATAATTGTTATACTATTGTAACGTGTTGCTGTCCAACTGTCAACTAATGTGCACTAAATTTACTTTTTTCCCCCCCGAGACAGTTGAAGCTTGTGATGGAGAAGATTCATGTTCAGAAGGAAGAGGCCATTCTCAAATATGTAAGTATTAATTTGAAAATCTTTCCTTACCCAATTCACCCTGTGTTGCTGCGGCAGTGCACTTGTGTCCACCTGGCTTGCTGCGAGCCGGGGTAAACAAATCGGTCTGAACTCGACACACTAACCTTAGACACGGTTTGTGCCCAAACCATTTAAGGTATCAATTTGAAATTTCGCTTTTAGATTTTACTTAAAATTTTCTTTTAATATTATTAGAAATAAAGATGAAGAGCAGAGAAAACAATATATTCTTCGTCCGACTGTGACTCATTGGCACTCGATTTACCCTATGGATAGCAACTTATAGTCAATCTGTGGTCTAGATTCTAGCTTTTCTTTGAAGTTTTCAAGGTACTAAAATCAATCAGATCGCCTTGTTTTTCTATATTTACGTCTACTTTAACTTTCTTTGCCGCTTATGTCTAAAACAAAACCCAAAACATGGTTCATGTATTTTAACAAACACAAAAATAGCCGTGGCACTGTTGGAATTTGTGGCTATTTTTTTTCCTTCTAGTCGATGAAGATTTCAGTGCTCGCTTTCTTGCCATGATTTGTGGTGACAAAACAACAAAACTAACTCGTAGTTGGCGAATAATGGATCAAAACAAGCTAGCAAAAGTTTTTACAAGCTACAAGCGACCTATTATTTTCAATAGAAACCTGGATAAGTGGTTTGGACTCGAGTTTGTAGACTGGTATACTGCTATGACTATCGTAGCTCGGTGGACAGAAGCGCGCGGCAGCTACGAATATAATTATATACTCATAGCGCTGGTGCAATGGATTAATGTTAGTGAGCCATTTACATGGTTGGCTTAAAATGTTCCAAACGTTATCATTCTATCCAGTTGTAAAACTGCTGTTTCTTTTTATTTAATGCATGCACAATGTGAACTGAGATTTTTTTCTTTTAATTTTGAAGTTGAATGTAATCAACTTGCTCTGGAAAGTTGATCAGTTTCTTTTACTCTAATGATTCGCTCATTGGTAATATGTAATATGTAAGGGTTTTCCTAATTTTTTTTTCTGTAAAAAACGCAGCTCTGGTGAGAGTTGTTTGTGTTGAAATACACGTAGATCTAAACACTGTGGGATTTTTATTTTTGGGATTGACACTAACAGGCTAAATTCCTGATATAAAAAGCAGTGCATGATAATACACTAAGGGACGCTTTTGCATGTGTCTATCCTCGATTCAAGGGCAGCACATGAAAATACAGTCGAATCTGGGTAAGACGGCCTTGCATTGTCGAGGTGAAAAGTGGCCGTTTAGGACTAGGACAGGTGGCTGTCATACGCAGGACTGGTCAAAATGGAAAAAAAACAACCCATGATTGTTATTTATTTGTTGTTTTTTCTATTTTGAAAGAAAGGGGGGAAAGGATAGGAAGGTTTTGTGAGACTTTTTGTTTTTAGTATTTTTTAATTTAAAATAAATGGTTTCGTGAAAGGTCAAAACAAAACGAATATGTCAGACGAGGAAGGTTAAGTGCCATAGTTATAAACAAAAGGGGTCGCCACCACTTGGCGAATGAGAGATACTTCTGTCACGACTTTGTGTTGACTTCCTTTGTTATGGACTGGGTATACGGACTGAGCTGTGGGCAGGGCTTATAGATTATGACGGATCACACGCTTCCCTTACCAGTAGCTGAAAACTTATTGTTACCCTTCGGTCAACTTGGGTAAGCATTGGGAGCGACCTAAGCAGCAGGACCGTTTCATATTATGTAGAAAAAGCGCAAGGGGGGAAACATAAAGTGACCGTTTGCACAGGTGGCTGTCATGGCAGTTCTACTGTATATTGATTCTTAAAGTCAATGTTCTTCCAAGTCGGTGGCTCCTTTAGTTTTGCCTATAATGCAGCTTTTCTACTGATGCTTCTTGGGCCTTTCTTACTGCTGTATTTCAGCCACACCCCTGATCTCAGGGTAGGTAAGATCTAACTCCTAGCCTTCTCGGATAAGGGTGAAATATCTCGAAGGTCCTGTGTACAAGTTGCGTAAGTTAAAGGTCCCTTGGTGGTTTAAAATTGATGAGAGTAGGCTTTGACTGTCACCTGGGCAAAATGAAAAAGTTAACTCCTGCCAAACTGAAAATATGTTTTTTGGGTTGTTGTTTTTTGGTACTGCATTGAAAATGTTTAATTTGTCACCCGCTCTCATATGACCTTATGATTTATGCAGTTGCGAGGGCCGAAATGCACTTACCAAGATAAACAAAGTTTTGGTTAACCCTCACTGTATGTTACCTTTTGTTTCTTTTTCAAGGGTTCTGCTCTATGGAATCAGCCTTTGGAGGGCCTTTCTGATCTGCGAGATGGAGAGTTCTTCATTCACATCATGTCATTAATGTAAGTTTAACAGTAGCAACCCCCCACCCCCACCCCCACCAGGGCAGTGCTACTGACTGAAGTTGTCTTTAGGCCATTCACAAAGGGGGGATATTAACATGTTCTTATGCACAGTAGAATTGTAAATGGGCTGATATATCAATGTCATTACGATTTTTATCTTGCATTTGTCTTCATTTCTGTTTTCTTGCTCTTTCATCTTTAACCAAGAAAAGGGAAATGGCTTTGAAAATGGTTGCAGAATCCAAGAGAAAATTGATGTGGGGATTGGGCAATATTGTCCACTTCTGGCAAAAAAACCCCTCTTTTTCTCGAGGAGTAAAAAAAAGGCGTTTTGTCAGCTTACGGCAGTATAGCCCAAGATAGAAGTAGATATGGAGACTCTGGAGAGCTGGTGTTGGCTGCAAATACTCTGGCCCCATGGGGGTGGAAAAGGATAAGGATGATGAATTGCCGTATATAAATCAAGGGCAGATTTTCAACTGCTTAAATGTGGAGGCTGTGTGAATGAGTCTACATCCATAAAGTGATAGATGTTGTTATTGTTTTCAAGTCCCTTTAGCTGCGAGCATTTTGCTCTTGGCAGCGCATTGCCTCCCTATTAAGAGATAAACAGAATCTGTGTGAGGCAGTAAAATGTTATGTTAGAATAATAATAACACAACGTTGAGTTATTTTTTTTCACTTCTATGAAGATTGTGTTTCCTTGACTTTCTCATGTTCCTCCTCTCTCTTTCGCCTGTTGATCATTCTGTGCAGAACATAGAGGAAGAAAGAAGTCTGTCGCAAGTATAATGTTTTCTCTCTTACAATTCCGCTTCAAGAAACAGCTGAGTATATCATCAACCTCCCACGATATTGGAGAAGAAGAGTCATAGCTTTGTTAAACACCCATAGCCTTCCATTAAATAACAATCTAACAATCTCTATCAGTGGAAATGAACTAATTCGCCCTTATGTGAGAGGTGTAACTCTCATGAAATTGAAGATGAATTTCACTTTATTTTCTATTGTTCACACTTTGTCCCTCAAAGGAAATTGTTAATCCGTGCCCTCCCAGCCAGATTTGGCCCAGTGACAGAAATATGCAATGTTTGATAAGAGATATGTGCACAACCTGTACTTATTCATTATGGAAACTTTATTTATCAAATGAGTGTTTTGTGTGATGTGATGTGGGCCAATGGCCTTAAACACTGAATAAACTTACTTACTTACTCATCTTCCTTTCAGGGATCAATGGAATGGAACTGACCTGAGGAGAAAGTCTTTGTCTAATGACAAGGATAGACTGACAGTTGTCAGGGGTTTCATCAAAAGTAAGTTTCTTGTTGCTCCTGTTGAGATGGCGTTCAGCTGCTCAATTTTCAATTTGATATGGCTATATTTTTTATTTTAAAGTTTTAACTCCACTACCCTATAATGCGCCACCACTTTCTGTACATAATCAAGATTGTAAATGTTTGGTAAGTGACTCTTTTACTTGAAATTATCTTCCAAACTCTCAAACTGGTATTTCCTTGCTTTGATAAATTGATGGTTTTTATTTCAGCAATCTAGGGTTAAACAGTATAGTAATAATGGGTGTCTCGCGAAAATTGTCTTCTGTCGCGATCACGCTGAAAGTTAAATTCCTCCTTTCTTAAAATTCTGAGTTGAGACCCATGAATATAAGCCCATTACATAGAAAAATTGTAGCCGTCAGTACAAGTTTCATGCAAATAACAGCTAACAGTTTTTACTTATTATGCTTTTGTTAAATACACAAGAACAATGCATGCAGTCTCCTCATGGATTCTTTGTGATCACCTCACAGGTCAGTTTGGCTCAAGCGAGGAAGTGAGTGATTTTGGAAAGTTGTACTCTGACGCCCCAGTCACCGAGATGGAGCTAGCTAAGGTAAGAAGCTGTCTTCCAATGATTTAATTACCCAGGGTTCCTGCGGCCTCCTTGAATTCAAGGAGACCTTGAAAACTCCTTGATTGCAAATCTCCTTGAAAACTCCTTGAATAACCTCCTTGAAAACTCCTTGAATTTCGGTGGATCGGACGTAAACAAAATTTTTGTCGGAAAATCAAAACTACAATTCCTTTCGGACAAGTGTAGGTGTATCAGAAATAGGCTTTTGGCATGAATTTGTTTGTAGAATTTGATGGGGAGTTCATGTCAGGTGCCTTGTGATCACACAGCCAGCAGTACAAAATACCCCCCATCTGCTCACCCAGCCATGAGAGTGACTGCAACAGACTTCTCAGGCCTGTCGCAGAACTGCGTCAGGTGACCGGAACGGATAATTTTCACCGTTGCATTATTTTGGCAAGTGTTCACAAAGTGTTTAGCTTCGTTATCTTATTGAGCAACTGCTCAAGCCTCATTTGTTGAATTCTTAGCTCTTGTGGTGAGTTAGTAAGTACTGATATGTTTTTACTGCTTTCCTTACGTGTATATAATTGATGTGGTTTTTTTTGCGTTCTCTTTTCTTTTGGTCTGAGCCCATTTTAAAAAAAAAGTCATTTTGTTTAAATTGTGACTTTCCTATTTCGTTTAAATTGTGACTTTCACATTTCGTCTGCCAGGTTGCAGTGGTTCTGTTCAGTATCGGTATCCTGGACAAGAACCGCGAGGCCTTCACGTCCCCCGCGCTCACTCTGAGCCCCGAGCTGCAGCAGAGCCTGCTCACCATGCTGCAGAGTGTCATCATGACGGACAGCACCGAGCTCCGGCTCACCCACGCCATTGAGGAGGTGCTCTGTGAGCCTGCCAGTAAGTCTGAGAATGTTGTTTGCACTGGAATTTTGTGAATGGTTCACGGGTTTTAGTTAGTTTTTTAGAGTCGTTGTTAGTGATCCAGTAGCATCTGAGCGTTAACCCTTCTGCATGATGCCATTCGGTAATACCTGCATGTTTTTTAGAGTCAAGTCGTGCCCTTAAAGAGAATGACGTGGGTGGTTGGCGGGAATTCTGGTGTGGTTTTGCTCCTTCTTTCCTTTCAAACATCTATCGTCCTTTTCTCTCCTCCTTTTTTGTATTTGTTACTCTCTTGTGAAACATCTATTCTTCGGCACTTATATGACCTTTTTGTGTTGCAAGTGCAGTAAAACTCTTACTAAAACTAAAGATTTCATGCTTCCGTAGTGGCTCGCCACTCGAGCACTCTCACGGGTAGTCGTGAGATTTCACACCCACACCACCCTGACAATCTGCATCTCTCAGGGCTCACATAGATGGGGTTTACTTCTACCCCCAAACTCAACATTTCTACCAAACTCTTTTCAATCAGATTCATCATTTCAACCAAACTTGTCATTTCAACCAAATTTTTCACTTCAATCAAATTTTTCTCTTCAACCAAACTTAGTCATTTCACCAATTTACCAAACTCATCATTTCAACCAAACTTGTCATTTCCACCAAATTTTTCACTTCAACCAAACTCGATCATTTCAGCCAATTTACCAAACTCATCATTTCAACCAAACGCATCATTTCAACAATCACTTCTACCAAACTCATCATTTCAACCAAACTCATGATGATCCTTTCCTTATCATCCCCCCCCCCTCCACCAGGCGTGACGCCTCGCACAGCATCGCTGAGCTCCTCCGCTGAGAGCCTCCTGGAAGAGTCGCACTCTGGTTCCTCCAACTCTGGCCGGGCCAGCCTCCACGAAGGGGAGATGACGCCCAAGAAGGAGGGCACCCGCTCCCACAAGAACAGCGGTAGCTCCTCGCTCAACTTCTCCCTGTCCGACGAGCTGACGCCCCTGAAGAACTTCCACCACTTTGAGAGTTCGATACACAAGTCCCCCGTGGTGTCCTTCGTGCAGTCGCCACAGTTTATTCAAAAGGTACGTTGCTAGCGTGCAGTCGCCACAGTTTATTCAAAAGGTATGTTGCTAGCGTGCAGTCGCCACAGGTTATTCAAAAAGTACGTTGCTAGCAATGGCTGTTTTGGGACGTAAAGATAATGGTACATTTGTAATATTTGTGCACCTAGGTTGATTTGAGTTGTACGTATACCCTGTTTAGCTTTATGGTACATTTTTAGCATGATTAAAAATGACGAGGGGTAGGGGTTGATAGATTTTATTATTTGCTTTCTTTGTATAGCTTCATTTAAAAAAAATTTTTTTGAGATGAAATTATTTGGTCTCCTACAAACGAGGGAGGGGGAAAGAGAGAGAGACACACACACTCACACACACACTCTCACACACACACACACACACACACACACACACACACACACACACACATGCCTGTCTTGGAAATGGGGTACGCAAAGTCAAAGTCTGCACACTTTTCTTTGATGAGTCAACGCAGATCAAACAATCCTGTTTGTTTGTAACTTTAAATAAAGCCTGTGGAATCAGCTGGAGCTGTGGTAAATTAGTTACTTGCCCTCCCATTATAATATAACTGCATGAATCATCATACTGTTGTCTACATACAACAAAGAGTCTACATAACAAGAGGGGCCACTTCTCTCTTTGAGCCAATTAAAAAAGTGTCCTCAAAATTCGGTGGCGCCCTCTTCGCAAAAGCGCACCTTTTGCAAACAGAGTTATCCTACTTGAGTTAAAAAAATCAAAGTGAAACTAGCAAGTTTTTGAATGAATTTCGGAAGAACGCTTTTTTAAAATGGTTACGCTGACAAAAAGCCTCTTCCGGAGGAAAGGGTGATTGTTTTCTTTGTTTAATTTGACTTTAGAATGAAAGGCGAGAGGTCATTAAAATGTAAAAAAACCTAGAACTCCGCACTGAACGAACCCGAACTGCTGATGAACAGCAGTCGATCTGCGCACGCAAGGAGGTGCTATTCCTATTCTTCTTCTGGAAAAACGAAAGAGAGCTTCAAAACAGATTGCAGCGCCATCTGAAGCAAAGAGCGAATTTCCTGCGGACACTTTTTTTGGCTGAGTGGCCCATCTTGTTATTTACTATCTTTGCATACGATTGGAATTGTTTGACTGATTTGTGTTTCTTTTATTGTGTGCCCTGACCCCAAATCAGCTTTGTTTTGTTATTTCATAACCCTCAGGATAGGGTCGTTGTTGGTACAAGATCTCGTTATGATATATATATATATATACAAAGAGGACAGAAAAAATTCTTCATAGAGACTTTTCTGACAAAAACATCTTGTGCTTCACTAAGATGAACAAAATATTAAAACATTTTGTTTTCATAAAGGGTTCGGGTGGCATCTGTAGCCTAGTGGTTAGGCTACCGGAGCCGTAGTTGTGAGATAACGGATTCGGGGGGGGGGGGGGTGGTTTGGAGCCTCGGCTCAGTTCGACGTTGTGTCCTTGGGAAAGACACTTTACATGATTTTCCTAGTTGGCTTGGTCCTTTCGGAGAAGGAACTTTAAACTGGGAGGTCCCACCTCTTAAATAACTTAATAGTGTTGATTGCAAATCTCTGTGCCGCTTCTGATCACTGCGTGTAGTGCCTTGTGCAGGAGCCGTGGCTAACCCATCTCGCTCAGAGAGAGGTTTGTCAGTGACTTCTCATTCTGAAAGTTATTGCCACTTGACATTGTTCGATAGATCCCATTGAACGCACTTAACTCTTTATCTCCGGCAAGCCACTCCCAGCAGTCGGAACCACTGCCGGTGAGCCGCTGACACTAGGCTCCTCGCTACCTCAGAATTACAAAGTTCTATTAAGTTACTAAGACCAGGAGGTTGGAAACTGAATTTTTTATCTGTCCTATGAAACAGTACCACACCACCTCTTTAACTGCCCAGCACTTTGTGACCTGCGTAGCACCTACCTACCTGCCTCCCCAGACATCGGAAACACTCTATACAGCGACAAAGCAGAGCTGATTAAAACCTGTCAATTCTTTGCCATATCGACAGACCGAAGGGCTAGAACCCAAATGGCCGCTGGATCGGAAAAGTAAAAGTAAAGTAAAAGTATCTGTCCTATCAAAATAGTAAGATTACTTGGGGAGTTGTTATCAGTATGTTCCAAGAATTGCATTCGAAGAAGCTTGACATGTTGTGAAACTCAAAAATCTTTGCCATCAAATTTCTCAAAACTAGGTACTGAGCAGATAAGACTGTAATTCTGAGGTATGGTACTGTTAGGTGGAGTCTGTTGTACAGTACTCTTGTTACCGTCAACGGCTACCATTTGGGCTCTCCTTTAAAGAGGGATGTTCGTTTAGTGGGGTCAGGGAGCACCATGTTCTTTGTGTGTGTGTGTGTGTGTGCGCCCTGTGTGCATCTCCCGTGTTGCTGTAGAGAAGTTTGTTTGTTCCCGTGCAGGCTGTGCTGAGGCAGAAGGAGATGGAGTTCCGCGAACTGAAGCTGCAGCTGGCCAGCGAGATGTTGCAGAAAGAAGAGGCCCAGATGTCGCTGTGTGAGCAGAAGAGAAAGACTGCGGAGTATGGTACGTGCGTAGCTGTGTGTAATGATGTGCGAGCTCTCCCCCCCCCCCCCCCCCGTCTTTGTCATGTGGTAATGTTGTTCATTCCCATCGACGCAATTTAGACAGTAACACATCCATTCTTTGGCACTTATATAACTGTTTGTGTTGCAAGTGCCATAAAATCTTACCTCCCCCACCAGGGCTGGCTTTCGATTTAGCAAATAAAAATTTTGGTGCGAAAATGAGAAAAGTCGTTTTGTCGGCTTGCGGCAGTATCGAACTATAATGGTGTCTGCTTTTTCCTTTAGATTGTTTTTGTTGTCCTCCATTATGTAGACTTGCGATAACTAACAATTTTGCCATAGCGTTTCAAAACTGTGTGATTTCTATCTGGCAGCTGAAGAAATGAAAAAACTTCAAGAACGAGTTCGGAGTCTGCTCGAGGATCGAGAGAATCGAGATGACGTCCTCGAACTTCAGGCAAAGTGTTCTGTCATGGAGACCACAGTCGCTGAGTAAGTCTTTGTCTGTCCAGGAAAAGAAAAGAATAGTGTAACGATATCCTCCCCTACTGCTCATAGATATATATTTCAAAGTTTCCGGAATTTTAGTTTTTTAATTCTTTCAACCCCCTTTCCTGCTCTCTAACCATATTCTTTCGCCTGCTTTCATCTCCACTTTCTGCTCCTTCCTTTCTCTCCTTTGCCCCCTCCTGTGGAACAAAAGAACAAACAAATTTTTCCCAAGTTTTTAAAATGTCATCACTCACAAACATTTGTAATAATAACGCCCATGATGGAATTCTTCGTACTCAAGACAACCTCTGAAATGTAGACTAGTTAATGTTACAGGAGTTTAATATGTTGAAAATTGTTTCCCTAGGCTTCACGGAACCATTGCCGACATGAAGAAGCGTGAACATCAGCACAAAGCTCTTGAGGGTGAGAACATCGCTTTGTCTGCGCAGGTTGAGAAACTGCACATTGAGGTGAGTCCTTCTGTGGGTTTTTTCATGGTTTCGTTGTCAGAGGTGCCTATTTTCTAGATAATATGTTCAGATATCCGGATTTCTGAAATTATCCGGAATTTGCTGTAAGATAAAGTAGACGTTATAAATTATCTGCGTGTTTTGGAATCCTGCACCGGCATTCCATTTGAGGTTTTAAAAGGTTCAGGATTTTTTTTTTTTTTTGCAGTTTGTCGGCGCCTCTGGGTGATCTCAACATGGACCTTCTTTGAGGTTGTAAAGAAAATAGCTGTAGTCACTTTGAATATCCGGTGCGCTGATGGAGTCTGTTCTTTGCTTTTTTTTTTTGTGTGTTCCTCTTGTCCTGTGTTTGTTTGTTTTTATCTTTTTGAGTTGTTGCATCTGCGTTCTTTACATGTTGTAAAACTACTCTCCTCGTAAAATGAATGATAGTATGCTTTTCCGAATTCTGTAACTGCGCCAAATAAAGTTAAACTGTGTTTTTCACCTCATTGGAAAGAATACAGAACCTGACTATGTATAATGCAAGGCCAGATTATTAATTAAATTGTAAATCAAGGCAGATAATGCAAACATATTAAATTTTAGAATCACTAATGTAGTAAAATTATAAATTACACTGTGAAACAACTTTTAAAAAAATTATATGTACTGCTGAGGCTAGAGAGGTGAGAAGAGTAAGCCTGATTCCCTGTTTGGACTTCTCTGTTGACATCCACCCCTTGGCGCTCATATGACTTTATGCAGTTGCGAGCGCCGTAAAACCTTACAAAGACTAAATCGTGTGTGATTTATTCAGTCAATATTCAATTCTGAATGGACATGTTATTTTTGTGGGTGGTGGGTTGAGGCCCTGGTGTGGTTTGCTTCTTCTTTCCTATCAAACATCTATGATCTTTATCTGCCCTCCTTCTTTTTTGTGTTTGTTACTGCCTTGTAACACCTCTAATCTTTGGCACTTATATGACCTTTTTGTGTTGCAAGTGCCGTAAAACTCTTACGAATTTTAAAAAATATTTTTCGTTTAAAAAGAATCATTATACGCACGTGGGCAATGGCTGGAATCATTGTTCTGTTTTCACTGAAAGTCTTTCTTCTTTGCTCTCTCTCTGTTATTTGTATTGATTTTTTCCCCCTACTGCTTTATGGCTTATTTTACCGAAGTTCTTCATTAACTTCCTTTTACTGGGTGGTTGAGGGTGCTCTGGTGTGGTTTGCTCCTTCTTTCCTATCAAACATCTATGAAAATCTGTAATCTCGTTTGACCTAATGCAGTTGCGAGCTGCGTAAAACCTCTACTAAAACTAAAACAAAACATCTATCGTCCTTATCTCTCCTCCTTCTTTTTTGTGTTTGTTACTCCCTTGTAACACCTGTAATCTTAGGCACTTGTATGACCTTATTGTGTTGCAAGTTCCATAAAACTTTTACTAAAACTTCCTTTAACCCATTTCAATTTAAAAATAAAAAATCTCATGTAAATATTATGTACAGGTCTTTTTAATTAACTCCTCCCAACCCCCCCAAAAACAAATGAGCCATATTGTTGTTTCTTGACTTGTTCCATCAAGATTGAGCTGCTGAAGAAGTCCAAGCAAGAGGAAACGAAAAAATACTGGGCGCTGTGCACGATGTTTGAGGAGAGTCGCGTGGCGTGGGACGCCCGCCGTGCATGGCTGGAGGAAGGTCTGGAGTCGCAGGAGGAGATGGTGGCCTTGAGGAATCGGGCGGAGGTGCTGAAGGAGACGAACGACCGCCTCAAGGAGGAACTGGAGGAGCTGCAAGCCCGCAAGGGTGAGTCGAGCAAGCTCTTTAGTAATAATAATAATAATAATAAAGATCACTTCTATAGCAACCACTCCCGTGTGAACACAGCTCTAGGTGCTTTACATAAATGCATGTACGAACAGTATTCATGCACACACACACATACTCACGAACATACACACACGCTCACATTTGCACTCACATGCACGCCAAACACACGAGCACTCACTCAAACACATAGACACACACACTCACACATACACACTCGCGCACACACACATCTACTTGCTTACCACCTTGAGCCTTTGTCAGGGTTCCTGCAATTGCGAGTGCCGTAAAACCCTTACTAAACTCACTGACTTGGGTTCCTGGCCCTGTGGCTTCCTGGAATTCAAGCGAGGAACCTCCTTGAAAACTCCTTGAATATCGTCTGATCGGACATGAACAAATTTTTGTCGGATTGCTCTTGGCTCGCCGTGGAAAATGGCATGAATATCTTTACCAAATCTTCTTGAATTTTTAGAATATTTCCTTGAAATCTCCTTGAATGTTTAGAATAAATCCCCTTGAATTTTTAGAATATCTCCTTGAAATCTCCTTGAATTAATATCTCCTTGAAATCTCCTTGAATTTTTAGAATATTTCCTTGAAATCTCCTTGAATTTTTAGAATATCTCCTTGAAATCTTCTTGAATTTTTAGAATATTTCCTTGAAATCTCCTTGAATTTTTAGAATATCTCCTTGAATTTTTAGAATATCTCCTTGAATTTTTAGAATAGCTCCTTGAATTTTAAGAATATCTCCTTGAAATCTCCTAGAATTTTTAGAATATTTCCTTGAAATCTCCTTGAATTTTTAGAATATCTCCTTGAAATCTCCTTGAATTTTTAGAATATTTCCTTGAAATCTCCTTGAATTTTTAGAATATCTCTTTGAAATCTCCTTGAATTTTTAGAATATTTCCTTGAAATCTCCTTGAATTTTTTGAATATCTCCTATCTCCTTGAATTTTTAGAATATCTCCTTGAAATGTCCTTGAATTTTTAGAATATTTTCTTGAAATCTCCTTGAACTTTTAGAATATTTCCTTGAAATGTCCTTGAATTTTTAGAATATTTTCTTGAAGTCTCCTTGAATTTTTTGAATATTTCCTTGAAATCTCTTTGAATTTTTTGAATATCTCTTTGAAATCTTGATTTTGTTGGGGAGTTCATGGCAGAAACCCTTCAGGCTTACAGTCTCATGCACAATATAAATAAATCATAATATAAACAATGATAATGTTAAGCTAGATACATACTCAGTATTCTGATTGTAAGTCAGTGTTATTCTGATGCTTTGGTTTTTGAAGCAAGTGTGAACGGCATCTGTCATGTGATGGTTTGGCCGTTTGTGTAGCATGCAGAAGATTTGAGTTTGATTCTCGAGTGGCGTTCACTTTTAATGAGTACTCTGCCTTTGTGCTGGACAGACAGCTGTTTCCCCACACGGCACCGGTTGGCTCTTACTGTCTGTTTAGAGCAGCTCACTTCCTAAATTATCTACTTTGAGCCTGTAAAGTTACCTGGCGGTCCGATGAGTCGGGAGTCGGGTCTGTCAGGGAGCTCCCGTCCTGGATCGGTGCTGTCGGTATCTCGTCCTGTGCTCGACTGAATCTCTCAGTGAGTGTCTCTCAGACGACGTCCTCTCTCTTTTGGTCTGGCAAGAGTGCAGCTGTGTTTTGTGTCGGTCTGTGATTTTCTTGGTTGTTTCTAAATTCCCGACAGATATTGTGTCGATATTGTGTGTAACAGTGAGTGTTGGGTTGTGAAGAGTGCTTGTTTGCAACTGGTGTGTTTGTCCGGTCTGTGAACAACGAGTGTTTGTCGAATTTCCCTTCTGCTATCTGTGAAGTGAAGAGCGAAACAGTCCGACATTTTTATTTTGTGAGTAGCCCACAGTTTGTTCCGAAAGCATGGAAAATCACGAGTCAAGGGATATAAGCTTGGAGATCCTAGAGGAGCTTAAAGCCTTTCGAAAGTACAGTGAGAACAACTTTTCTGAAATTAAATATGAGATTAAGAACTTTAGAGCAAAGTTGGAGCGCTTCGAGATAGAAATAGCTTCAATAAAAAATTCAGTTAGTGAAATTAAGGAACAGCAGCACGTGCAATATCTTGACATAGAAGAAGTTGACTCGAAATGTGCTGCACTGCAGGATAACGTTAGAAGATTGGAAGGGGAGATGGAAAAGGCAGAAAGGTACAGTAGGAGGGAAAATTTAATGTTCTATGGTGTGCCGGAGGATTTGAGGGAGGAGCCGCAAACAGCAAGAACAAAGGTAGTAGAAATACTTGGAAAAGTGACGGAGAAAAGCTGGGAAGATCGTGATTTCACACGGGTGCATAGAGTGGGGCCCAAGAGGCAGAAGGACCGCCCCAGGCCTATTATTGCAAGATTCCAATATGCGGAGGACAAATTCCTTGTTTTGGGTGCAAGAGAGGAACTAAAGGAGCAGGGGGTGAGTGTCGCCGGTGATCTTACACCGCGGCAAAGAGAAGAACTTAGAGACCTGAGAGCAAAGGGGAAACGTGGTTTTTAAAAAAATGGAAGACTTCACGTGGAAGACGTCACCCATACACAAACACAACACGGCCAGCAGTCACCACCACAGGACAACAGCCAGCCGCGCCGACCCGAGCCCCGTGGGCAACGACAGCAACAGAGGGTCACCCGCAGTCAGTCGGGGAGCGGTGATGAGGCAACGGGGGGCAGGGACGGTGGTGTGGCCACAAGGAGACAGCAGGGTCAGTCTTTGGCTTCAACAACAGCAAAAGAATAGGAACACGGCCGGCCCAGACTTGCAACAACAATAAATAACACCCAAGCAATGTTTTTAAAAATTATGTGTTGGAATGTTCATGGCATATCACAAAAATTGTTTAACCTTGATTTTGTCCACTTTTGTTCGTCGTATGACATTTTTGCTTGCTCTGAGGTCTACTCATGTAGTGAAGAAAAATTGCTCCTCGCTTTTCCCCAGTACAATATTTACTCTGCAAAACGTGAGCACGGGTTGGGTGGGGGTGTTGTTGTTTTTGTTCGTCGGTCGTTAGGGACCCAAGTCACAAAGCTAGAAATTTCTATGAAAGAATGTGTTTGTTTACTGTTGAAGGAGACCTGTTTACAAACAGATCGTAAAGTGGTCCTATGCTTCCCCTACCTCCCTCATGAATTTTCGCCTGTGTTTGATAATGAAAAGGTTAAAGGTGTACAGTCTCTTGTGAAGACATATCATGATATTAGCGATAAGTTAGGAGAAGTTGAGTGGTTAATCGGAGGGGATCTGAATGCAAGGACAGGACGTTTAGATGATAACTTTGTTGAAAATAACGTACATGAACTTTTGTCTGGTTTTGAAGAAACATATGATGTTTTAGAAGAAATTTGTACCCAAAGAAAGTCACGGGACGCTTCCTTTACAAATAGTTATGGAAAGCAATTAGTTAGTTTCTGTAAAGAAAATTCATTGTACACTGCGAATGGCAGGACACCGGGAGATGAGGAAGGGAATGTCACATGCATTGCTAATAAGGGAAAAACAATTGTTGATTATGTTATTGTGAGCAAGGGAATGTTTGAGAAGATCTTTAGTTTTTCTGTCATGCCAAGGCCAGACTCAGATCATTTCCCACTGTCAGTGTTGTTTAAAATTTACATTGAACATGATGACACTAGTGAAAATGTTGAATGTGAGATTGAACTTAGCCGGTTGTTGCGGCTCACGTGGAAAGAAACAATGAGAAGCACTTATGTTGAAAAGCTTGAATCATTATTAAATGAAGAACATGATATGTTTTTGTCATATTTAAGTCTCAATGATGTCGACTCTGCCTGTAATGTTTTACAACAATGCATTAAAATATCAGCAGGAGACATGCAAACCAATAAGCAAAAGAAAGGAAAGCATAGTAAGCTTCATCAACCATTGTGGTGGGATAACGAATGTGAAAGGCTAAAGAGAGTAAAATATCTTCACCTCCACGATTTCCACAGAACAAACAGCTCAAATGATCTGGATAAATTCCTTGAAGCAAAGAAAGACTTTAAGGAGATGTGTGCGTTAAAAAAGAAAATCTGTGATGCCCAGACAGTAGAAAGTTTAAAACAAGACCTTGCTGATAAACGATCAAAACCATTTTGGCAAAAGGTTAATAAAATGATGCGTACTCATGGCTCATTTAATGCGGCTAAGGCCACACCAGAGCAATTTTATTGTCATTTTAAAGACTTGCTAAATCCCAGAAATAATGAATCATCAGAGGATTTATTACAGACACAAGTTGATCATGAAGTAGTTTTGACAAATGAGGATTTAGACACAAATGAATACCTGTATGATAATGAAATCACGACTTCTGAAGTTCAAAGTGTTCTGAGAAAACTGAAGAAAGGAAAGGCTAGCGGATGTGACGGGATTGGTCCTGAATTCTATTCTAATGCATGTCCTTCCTTGATAACATACCTGTGTTTGTTGTTTAATGTCATTTTTAACACAGGGAAGTACCCAAAAATGTGGTGTCAAGCACTAATACATCCTATCCTCAAGAAAGGAAGTCCTTCAGATGCAAACAACTACAGGGGCATTGCACTTCTAAATATATTATCCAAGATAATGTCTAGTATATTGCATTCACAACTAGCGGAATGGGCCTAGCAGACCAATGTAATTCCCGAATCGCAAGCAGGGTTTCGTAAAGGTTATAGCACTATCGATCATATCTTCTCGCTTCAATCAATAGTCCAAAAGTACCTTTCAAAGAAACGTGGGCGCTTCTATGTACTTTTTGTTGATTTTTCCAAAGCATTTGACTGCGTCCCCCATGAAAAACTGTGGGCAGTCTTGAGGAAAAGAGGCTTGAGAGGAAAAATGTTAACATTACTACAAAGTATGTACTCGGAAGTTATGTGCTCTGTCCGTACTGGCCAGCATGAAATTACAGAATATTTTAATTGCTTGTCTGGTGTTCGTCAAGGATGTATTCTTAGCCCACTTTTGTTCAATATGTATATTTCTGAATTTGAATTGATGTTGAAAAACAGTGTTGTTAAAGGAGTTGAGCTATTAAGCAATGATGAACAAACCCGCAATTTAATGTACGCAGATGACATGTGCTTATTTTCAGATAATATTGTAGACATGCAAAGGAAGATCAATTGTTTGGAGAAGTATTGTAACCAGTGGGGACTGTCTGTAAATTTGGAAAAGACAAAGATGATTGTTTTTAGAAATGGAGGCGTGCTAAAGAGCTCTGAAAAATGGTTTTACAAAAAGAAAAGCATAAACGTAACCACGTACATAAGCTACCTAGGAGTGATATTTTCTTCCCGCTTGTTATGGTCAAAATGTATAGAAAACTTATGTTGTAAAGCAACAAGGCTCACGTCTAGAGTGAGATGTCTAAGTAAAAGATATGAGCGCTTGAATGTCCAAACTCTGTTCAACATTTTTGACATCAAAATTAAGCCATTACTTTTGTACGGTTGTGAAGTATGGGGGGTGAAGAAGTATGATAAAATAGAGCAGGTGCACATTAAATTTATTCTGCAAGGCCGTCCTAAACATTGGTAGAACGTCCGCAAACATTTTGGCAATGGGGGAATGTGGACGTCATTATTTGTATGCCACTTATCATCTACGAGCAATAAAATATTGGTATAAATTACTGGTAATGGATAATAATAGGTATGCTAAGAAATGCTATTTGCAAGCGTATGCACATGACCAAAATAATCGGTACAGCTGGGCCACTGACATGAGGAAACTTTTATGAACAATAGGGTTTGGATATGCGTGGATTTTTCAAAATGTTGGTGATAAGAATATTTTCCTATCTCAAGTAAAGGAAAGACATAAATATTAGTCACCAGGACTGGCGTTCTAGGGTGTCTGGCGTTTATCATGAGTACCTGGACTTCCACCCTACATTAAGCCCTGCACCGTACCTCTCATTCACCATCTCTGCAAGAGGTAGAAGGATCCTTGCATTACTCAGAACTTTCAGTTTGTCGTTGAAAAATAATCTGTTCCGGTTGGGTATTGTCGACAGTAATCGTTGCCTCCAGTGTGATGAAAAGTATGTAGAAAATGAATTCCATGTATTGTTCAGATGTTCACGATATAATGAAATACGAGAGCAGCTTTTACCAGAGTGCGTCAGACTTCAGACACCCGAAGGGCCAATGTCTAAGCTCAATGGCATATTAGACTGTTCAGATGAAGTCCATTCTAAAAAGATAATCTCATTCCTAAATTATGTTGTTATACGGACACGTCTGTCCTAGGGAAAAGGTATTCACTCGCATATGTAACTCTGTATCTACTGTAATGGGTACTATTTTATATGTATATGTGTATGAAAAAGACAATGGTATTCACTTCTCAGAGTGAAACATGTCCCGATTTCTCTCGCTGCCTCATTCATAGCACTGTGTGGAAGTTCTATTTCTATTTGATCTTATGAATGTATGTATGTATGTATTTATGTAAGTATGTATGTATGTATGTATGTATGTATGTATGTATGTATGTATGTATGTATGTACGCATGTACGTATGTACATATGTACGTATGTACGAATGTACGAATGTACGTATGTATGCAAGTATGTGTGTGAGCAGGAGTGTGTATGAGTGTATGTGCGTGCGTGCGTCACGTGCGTGTGTGCGTGTGTGTGTGCGTGTGTGCGTGCGTGCGTGCGTGCGTGCGTGCATAGGTGTATGTGGGCGTGCATGTCCAATTTATGTTAAACATCCAATGTGCTGCACCAATGTATGTAATTGTCGAACCATATGTTAAAATATGTGGATGTATGGGCCAAAGGCCTTTCAAATCAATAAATCATTTTGAATCTTGAATCTCAGACGACGTCAGCTTATTTCAAGTAAGCTTCAAGTTATTTCCTGCTTCTCAGTGTGACCTCATCCAAGGGCGTGCTACTTCCTTAACTTTTAATTATCTTGTCCCCATAGTAACGATAAGAGTCATGTCCCTTGACATCATATGATCCCATGGGGGTGTACAGTTTTCTGTTCGTTCAGTGAAGCAGGCTTGAACGGGTTCAACATTTTTTTTTCTCAAGATCGGTGGTAGGTGGTTGAATTGTACTCTGGTTGTGGTTTGCTCCATCTTTCCTATCAAACATCTATCATCCTTATCTCTCCTCCTCCTCTTCCCTTTTTTTTTGGTATGTTTCTCCTTTGTAACCATCTCTAATTTGTTGCACTTTGACTGCCGGGCCCCGGGAATACCCCTGGAATTTGAGGAAATCTGTAAATTGCCCTGTGAAAGAACTGCGAAAATGCATAAAAGTTCTCGAATATTTGAAAACCAAATCCGATAACGTCTTTAAGTTCATTTTTGCTGATCGTGATTGCGATATTAATTTGGGTGTTCCCGGTCTGAGAGTACGTTTCACACAAACAGGCGGCTATGAGGCTATGACGGCTAGCGGATGTGTATAGTATAGGCCTATGTGATACCGAGGCTCGATCGGGAGAATCAATATCTACTTTCGCTTTCGTTACCAGTCAGAAATTTGTTGGTAATTGCCTGATAACGCAACATTAAAATTTGTCACAAACTGGTTGTGCATTACAAACGTGGTGTCGCCATGAAAATAAATAAATATGCGTCACTGTGCTGTCACTTGTGGGAAAAAAAGAAAAAAAGAAAACAAAGTTATATATACAAGCGTCTTGTCGGGCTCGCCATTGTGACCGGTCAGTGAACCTGTGTGCGTTCTGCTGCGAAGTACAGGACTCAGGAATGGGGGAGATTATTGATTTTTAGAAAAAAGATACATTGGGGGGCTGAACGCAACACCAGAGGACAAAAAGCTGAACTGAACTTGGAAGCATACTTTTAATGTTTAGAATTTTGATTACCATTACAGCCCTCTGCAAAGTACAGTAAAGTGCGTGTTGGTGCCGGCCTTTTGGCACTTGTGAGGAATCAGGATCCCTCATAACTTGTAAGCGTGTTATTGAACTTAAGTGTTTGCATTTCATTGGATGGGTGACAGTAAATTATATCTCTGTATTTTAGCTTTCCGATCGAGATTCGCAGATTTTCAGTGTCTTCATCTTGCCATCCCTCAGTTCTTACACCTCTCACACGGAATAGGGCTTAGGCTCTTCAAGTTATTACTGGTACTCTTCTTTGAGTTGGAGCAAAAAAAAAATTTCTTTCACGTTTAAATTATTATATGAATTATGACACCCAGACTGGTTCATGACAGTCGATATTCTGGTTCTAGGCCTTTTCTCAGGCTCAAAACAAGATTCAGTTTTATATAGTTTATAATATATGCAGGCGAATATGATGAGAGGAATATAAAAATAAGTAAGAACAGACTGAAATACTTAAGTGGCACGAGGCTACAGTGCAACACTACAGTGCAACCCCCCCCCTCCCGGAAAACTGAGAAGCCGGGTTGGCAGTCACCCTGCCTAATTGCGTTGCGAGCGCTGTAAAACTTACTACAAACAACTAAAGTAACCAAGAATGAGGAGTCCCATGAAATTGAGCCCTTCTTTTTCCTCTCCTCAGCCTGTCCATCGGAAGGGGAGACAATGGCCACTGTGATAGACATCAAGCTGAAGGAGGTGGAGGGCCTGTTGAGCCTGGTCACCGCTGAAAGAAACGAACTGCTGGACCAGCTGGAAGAGTGGAAAGGAAAATCCTCCGCCGCGTCTGTCAATCTGCGGAATGTTCAAGAAGAAAACCAGCTCCTGCTGAGTCACCTCAAAGCTTTGAAAGCGTCGTTGCCTCGCAGCGAGAAACGGATCCCGCTTGCTGATGTGCCTGTGAACGAGGAAAAGCTTCTCTCCCAAGCGGCTGTGAAGAATTCCAGTGTGCGGAAAAAGCTGCATCCGTCGTTAGAGGATGCTAACAGGCTGGACAAGAGCAAAAGTAGAGTGCACGCCGGTGGTAAAGACAGTTCTGAGGATAGTCTCACAGCGCAGAACAACAGCTGTTTAGAGGCTCCGAGGAGTACGGATAAGGAGAAAGATCTGGGTTGTACGGAGCAAGAAGTTCCTGACATAAGCCTCTTCACTGGTGAAGAGGCGGAATCTCCAGCAGGATCTTGTAAGAGCAGCAGCTCTCATGACTTGTCCCAAGCTGCCTCAGTTCTCTCTCGGACAGACGTAGCATCGTTCAAGCAGGCAAATTCGGGGAAAAGTAAAAGCACGAAGGCCAGGAGCAGTCATGTGGAAGACGTGTCGCTTGTTGGATCTGGTGAGTGACCGCTGCTTTGTTTCTGTGTACTTTGTGTTTGTTCTGTGTTCACTCGCGGCTGTTGCCTGGTGTTGGGTGCTGTAACTGAATATCGACAACAGCAGAATAGGCCAACTGTGAGAAAATGCTATTTGAAAATAAAATTTAAAAAACACAAGCTTTATATTGAAAACATTTTTTTAACCCAAGAAAAGTTTGTTTGCTTTAAATTTCAGCGGAAACAGATAACTTTAAGTGTGTTTTTGACTGTTACTTTTGATTTTAGGCAAAAAGTCATTCCTTGTTTTTTTGTTTTAAAAAAAGTAAGACTAGACAGGGAAAAATGGCCTTGAAACTTACCGTTGGCCACTCATTTATATGTCAACATTTCATTAACTAATTTTTGGTTGCTGTAAAACGGGTTAGTTATTAGAAGTAAAAAAAAATGTCTCTCCCAAGGGTTCAGTCTTTTAGAAAGCCCCTGATCTCTTTGGATAGGTATACAAACTTCCCAAATAGGCTCAACTTTTGAGATTTTTGGTGGGCTGTTGGCTGATGCTCTGGCGTGGTTTGCTCCTTTTTTCCTATCAAACTTCCGTCGTCCTTGTTTGCCCTCTTTCTTTTTTGTGTTTGTTACTCTCTTGTAACACTTCTAATGTTTGGCACTCATATGACCTTATTATTGTGATGCAAGTGCCGTAAAACTCTAACTAAAACTTAAACTGAAATTTGTGTGCAGTATTAAGCTTATTTACTGTCCTTTTTCTGTAGCTCTTGTTGATACTAATTTTTTTTTTTTTTAAATAGTGCATTTTAACATTGCTTTGATTTTTGTTACTTGCCAACTAGACTCTGAACGAGAAGTCCTGCTTTTTTCAAGGACTTGAAACAGAAATTTGCTGCTGGTTGTGGCAAGTTGCACACAACATGTGGGTGGCTGGCGGGCGCTCTGGTGTGTGTTTGCTCCATCTTTCCCATCAAACATCATGTCATATGATTTTATCCTTATCTCTCCTCCCCCTTTTCTTTGTATGCTACTCTCTAGTAATATTTCTAATCTTCAGCTCTCGTGTATTTGTGTTACAAGTCCTGCAAAAAAATTACTAAAGCTGAAACTGTTCTGCATGAAATGCCTAGTGAAAGTTCAACAAAGTTTTAAAAAAAAATTGGATTACAATGTAAATGTTGTTTCCTCATGGGATCAGATTCTCTGAAATTTCAAATTAGTTTTTGCTTGTTTAAAAAAAATTAATATTTATTATTTTGCATAAATAACACTTTGCCATCATATTTTGTGGAAAATCCAAAGAAACTGGGTGGAAAACGTCGATTTTACCTCCCAGTTTCTGTGGATTTCCCCCCCAAATGCCTTTGTCTTTGATAGCAAGAATTTTTACTATATGAACCTTGTGATGGCAGAGTGGTAAAAGCTTTTTAAAATTTTTGTTCTTGTATTTTTGGCACGTACGCATGATACAGGCAGCTGCTCACAAAGGTTAACGTGAGCGTCGCACGGTTTCAAATAGGTCTAAGGAGACAAGTTTTTAAAATCATTTTAGCGAGCTAGCTGGCTGCTCTGGTGTGGATTGCTCCTTCTCTATCCTATCAAACACTATCGTCTTTTTATCTGTCCTCTTTCTTTTCTTTGTATGTTACTCTTTTGTGATACGTCCAATCCTAGGCACATAATAAAATATATGACCTGTTTATTATGTTGCAAGTATGGTTAACTATTACTCAAACTTTAAAAAAAATTTAAAAAATCGGCAGCTAGTGAGGGTATTGTGCTCTGTGGGTATTATCAGTAGATTTGAACATTCCTTTATAAAGGAATGGGGGTCTCCTGCTCTCGTACTTCTTCAGTGTTGCTGTTATCTTGGTCTTCTCTCGGGTAAAGTGGGTGGTTAGTGGGTGCCCTGGTGTGGTTTGCTTCTTCTTTCCTATCAAACATCTATCGTCTTCATCTCCCCTTCCTTTTTTGTGTTTGTTCTTCTCTTGTAACACCTCTAATCTTCGGCACTTGTATGACTCACAGTATGACCTTATTGTGTTGCAAGTGCCGTAAAACTCTTACTCAGACTACAGCAGATCGCGGGCAGGCGCCTCTCATAGGCTCTGTTCTTTTCTTCCTTCCGTTTCTGTCTGTCTGTCTGTCTGTCTGTCTGTCTGTCTGTCTGTCTGTCTGTCTGTCTGTCTGTTTTTTCTTTTCTTGGCACGGCTGTTGTATGTGTCGATGTGCTTTGGCTTTCTCCGTCAGACAAAAGCCCTTTGGGTGGTTGGTGGGTGCTCTGGTGTAGTTTGCTCCTTATTTTCTATCAAACTACTATCGTCCTTTTCTGTCCTCCTTTTTTGTGCCTGTTACTCTCTTGTAGCACTTCAAATCTTCGGCACTTGTATGACCTAACTGTGTTTCAAGTTACGTAAAACGCTTACTGAAACAAATAAAAGACAATGACCCTTACAGTGCACTTGTAGCTTTTAAGAAGTCTTGGCTTCCCCAATCATACAAATTAGGGGGTGTGGGTGTTTGGCGGGTGCTCTGGTGTGGTTTACTCCTTCTTTCCTGTCAAACATCTATCGGATGTCCTTATCTCCCCTTCTTCTTTTTTGTGTTTTTTACTCACTTGTGACACCTCTAATCTTCTGGTGCTCATATGACCTCATACAGTTGCAAGCGCCGTAATACCTCTACTAAAGCTTTAAAAAAACATCTATCGTCCTTTTTTTGCATTTGTTACTCTCTTGTAACATTTCTAATCTTTGGCACTTATGTGACCTTATTGTGTTGCAAGTGCCGTAAAACTCTTACAAGAACTAAACTTCCATCTATCGTCCGTATCTCTTCTTTTTTTCTTTGCATGTAAATGTTACTCTAGTACTCTAGTAACTCCTCTAATCTTTGAAACTTATATACAACCTATTTGTTTTTTAAGTGCCATGTAAAGCTCTTATTACTAAAACCAAAGCCGTCTGTCTTTCTTTTCCCTTCACAAATGACTTATTGTGTCGCTGTGCTTGTTCTCTCTCCTCTATCAGATAAAGACCCTCCCAGTATACTGTCAGCATTTATAGTCTTGACATCCCTGTCTGTGGGTGGTTGGCAGGTGCTCTGGTGTGGTTTGCTCCTTCTTTTCTATCGAACTTCTATCGTCCTGATCTCTTCTCCTTTTTTTTTTTGTGTGTATGTTATTCTCTTGTAACACTTTTTATCTTCGGCATTTATATATCATTTTACCTTATTGTGTTGCAAGTGCCGTAAAACTCTTACCGAAACTAAAACTAAAGCTCTTATTACTAAAACTAAGACCGTCTGTCCGTCTTTTCCCTTCACACAAATGACTGTCATTGTGTATGATGTGCTAGATGTTTCTTCTCTATCAGATAAAGGCCCTCCCAGTATAATCTGTCGGCGTTTTAGAAGTACTTGTTGTTTGTTGTTGTTTTCAAATCCCTTTAGCAGCGAGCATTTCGTTCTTGGCAGCACAGTGCCCCCCCCCTCTCAAGTAACCACATGTCCTTGTCATCTGGTCAACGCCAGAGTAGAAGTACTTAAAAGTCTTGACATCCCTGGCCTTACAATGATGATGAACTGCTGTATACTTGAAATCTTTGATATATTATGGCTTTTTCTTTTGTCCCTTTACCCATCAGACCGTCAAGGGAGTGTCTGGGGTCGGTGGCTCTTGACACGCGTCATCATCCTTTGTCCCTTCTTGTGGCCTGTTGGTATTTCCTTGATGGTGATAGTCTATATTCTGCGCCTGCTTCCCGCAGCTTTGCGGCCGTCTTACTTAAGTACGTACAGCTTTGTTATAAGTCTCTCTGTTTGTAGATTGGTAGAAACGACAGCTCATTTTCTATATCACGCACGGTTCATGTCTTTGGAACTTAATTTTAACAATTTGATGTGCGCATGTTTGACTTTTCAAAAAATGTTGTTGAGCACTTAATTAAATGAATTCTTCTGAACTTTTTTGTTTTTGTTTTTGTTTTTGCTTTTGCTTTTGTTAAACTTTTTTCTTCAGTATAACACAAGACAGAGATAGGAATTGCCCAAGTTGTCAGGCATTCCTAATTGTTTCTTAATGAGTAATTATAGAAAAAGAATATTTAGGTTGTAAGTTGCGAATAGTTGGTGGGTGCTCACGTGTGATTTGCTTCTTCTTTCCTCTCAAATGTCTATCGTCTGTATCTCTCCTCCTTCTTTGGTTTGCATGTTACTCTCTAGTAACTCCTCTAATCTTAGTCACTCATGTAACCTCTTTTGTATTGCAAGTGCTGTAAAACTCTTACTAAAAATGGTTGCATGATTTAATTCTTAATAAACTGCGCACCAGTTCATCGGATGTAGGACATTGCTTGGTCGGTTACGGTCAAAACAAAAATTTTAGGAAAACTTCACCAAATCCATCTTATTAATAATCAACACCATTCTTATTTTGTTGAGCATTCTTTCCTACTCAGTTTTGAGACAAAATTGTCAATTTCTGTTCTTTCCTACTCAGTTTTGAGACAAAATTGTCAATTTCTGTTCTAAAGATACTTAACCGGATTTTGAGCCTTATTGGAAGAGTGTGTGTGTGACATGTAGCGATTGTTTAAAAATTATTTTTTTTAAAGCAATCTGAATAGTCTATTTACATCTTTGAACTTTAAACTCAATTCCCTATTTTGAATGGGGAGATTCCTCCACTTTGCCTCAGAAAGCTGCCATTGTACAGTGAAGAAGCTTCGAGGTCAGATGCGTAACACACTGGGTGACCTCGAGATATGTATTTCTTGTAAGGCACTTTGCTTATTTAAATTAGCTCATTCTGAAAAAAAAAAAATGCTAAACACAAAGATATTAAGTTTTATTTTTAAAAAATCTTTCGAAGAGATTCTGTGTCCCAGTGTGCTTTGCCCATCTCTTTCGCAGACCGCTCAAGAAGTATCTGCCAGCTTTTGGTTTATTTCTCGACAAGGCTCCAATCCATCGGCCAATCGGCCAATTTTATACAAGTTTGCAGTTACATGTTAGGATTTGTCCAATGAATGTTCAATTATCCAGTTTTCCTCTAGTTGGTTGTTACATCTAACAGGCCCTAGAGGGATACAGTTGGCTTTTGGAAAAAGGAATTGTTTTTTAAAGTTTTAGTAAGTGATTTACGGCACTTGCAACACAATAAGGTCATATAAGTGCCAAAGATTAGAGTTGCTACAAGAGAGTAACAAACACTAAAAAGAAGGAGGGGAGATAAAGACGATAGATGTTTGATAGGAAAGAAGAAGCAAACCTCACCAGAGCACCCTCCAACCACCCACAAAAGGAACTTGGATAAGAGATTACGGGTGTTTTTCACCCAGTAAAGTTTCGTATGTTTCAGTGAGCTTTAGTCTTGAGTTTGCAATTTTTTTTTTTTTCTTGAAAAATTGTTTCTGCTGAGTTGGAGAGATCTGGAAAACTGAAAACCGAAAGGGTAAGAAGACCGTGATCATAGATTTACTGGTTAAGTAATTACGAGACTCAAATACTGGTGGGTTTTTTTTTTTTAGTAGAGCGTTTTACGGCGCTCGCAACTGCATAAGGTCATATGAGCGCCAATACTGGTGTTTTAATGATTATATCAGTGACATTCTTCTGAAATGTTTATGTATTAATTTTGTGTGTTTCATTTCCATCAGATGCACCGAGTGAATGTTTGGGACCAGCTTGCAGCGAAAGGCTTCAGGAACTGACGTCTCTGAGACTGAAGGTCTGCCACATTCAGCAAGAGAAGAAACTTCTCACCAGCATAGAGGATGAACTAAGGGCTATTCTGCACAGCAGAGAGAGAGAGGTAAATCCTCCGGGCACTTAAGATCTTAACTAAGACCGTTTGTGTCACGACGTGGTAGAACCAGGCGCTCGTCAATTTTTGGGCTTGTAGAATTATTATTGGTGTCATCTTAAAGCTTGTTAAATTTATTATCTTTTGATGAAAATAATACCCATCTATCTTGAATAGAAGTTGAGATATTGGCAATTGAAAGAGGTGGGAACGCCTGGTTTCAGATGTAAAATTATCGAGAAAATGGCCGCCTAAGTTTGTTGATTTCCAAAGTTTGAGAATCCTTTGAAACTGTAAATTTACATTTGTTGTCCCTTTAATCAAAGTTATTCAGTAAATTCCACTCAGAAATGTTTTTAAATGGACATAAAAGGTGTTCTGCCAAAAAATAAAAATTTGAAAAAAAAAATGGTCAGACTGTCGGAAAAATGGCGATTTCTTCGGTTTCATTATTATGCTGAGCACCTGATTACACCACGATGCCTCACACTTGATATCGTCGGTCAGCTGTTCCGATGGACTAAGCCGAGTCCTGAAGTTGGAAATTTAGAATTCTATTGCGATTTTTGAATTTCTGGTATTGGTCGCATGTGCTGGGAATATGATTTTCTAAAATTCAAATTTTAGATGTTGATAAAAAGCAAGAAAAGATAAAGGGTAAATTATATAGGTACAGTTTTTAAAAGAATCTGGCCTTGAAACACAGAGATGAACAGCTTGTGAATAATATTTATATTATGAGCTCTGAATTTCTTGTTCTTGTTTTGCCGTCATGCATATCAGGACATTTCAGTTGTGAGTCGATGGGGTTACAATGCCCCCTCCGTTGTTCTCTGGTGTGTTCTGTTACTTTAAAAAAATCGTTTTTCCCAGTCCTATTTTTTTTTTTTGTGTGTTTTTTTTTAGCCTGTTGAACAGTTGTTTTCTTGGTGGTTTCATTTCCTGTGTGCAAAGTGAAGGAAACATAAGCTTGTAGAATGGCAAATATTTTGACCTCCTCTAAATTGGCAAGGAAAAGAATCATTAGCCGTGTGCGGTTGGAGGGTGCTGTGGTGTGGTTTGCTACTTCTTTCTTATCAAACATCTATCGTCCTTATCTCTGCTTCTTTTTTATGTTTGTTACTCTTTTGTAACACCTAATCTTCTGGCACTCATATGACCTTATGCAATTGCGAGCGCTGTAAAACCTCTACTAAAACTAAACTTATCTTGCCTTCTTTTTTGTGTTTGTTACTCGCTTGTAACACCTCTAATCTTCGGCACTTACATGACCTTGTTGTGTTGCAAGTGCCGTAAAACTCTTACTAAAACTTAAACTGTGTGCTTGCTTGTTTATAGAGAATGATTTATTTGATGATCTTTTCCAGGTGTCTGCTTTAATGGCATGGAATGAAAGACTGGCGCAGAGACTTAGTGACAAAAACGCTGCAAACGAAAGGTTGGAGGAGATGAACCTCAGCCTTCAGGCGACCTTGGAGAAGGAGATGCAGAACGCGTGGAAGTGGGACGTCGCTTGGGAGACGGCGGTCTCCGACTACCGCGGCTGTATGGAAATGCTTAAGGCCGCTAGGCAGGACAATGACTCGAAAGGTGAGAGAATCCACCACTCTGAACTGCTTCCTTTTTTTTTTCTTCTTCTTCTTCTCCGCTTGTACCGCCGGTGGGTGTCGCGGGGACACACGGACATCGTAAAGTTTGGTGATATGATACTGGGGACAGGCAGGGGATGGAAAAGACTGGGATAATTAATATAGGAAGGTTTAAGAAAAAAAATTTCTTTTAAAGAACCCCTGATTGGCAGACCCTTATTGTCACCATATATTTGGCTTCAGATTTGGCACTTAAAGAAGAAAGTGTTCTCCTTTGTGTGAAAATGTTCAACTTAAAAAAAAAGAACAACCTTAAAAAACCATTACTCGTGGGTGGTTGGCGGGTGCTCTGGTGTGGTTTGCTCCTTCTTTCCTATCAAACGTCTATTGTCCTGATCTCTTCTCCTTTTTTATATTTGTTACTCTCTTGTAACACCTCTAATCTTCGGCTCTTATATGACCTTGTAGTTTTGCAAGTGCCGTAAAACTCCCACTAAAGCATAAAACCATTACTCCAAGCAAACAAGGCCTGGTGCCTGTGGTGTAGTGGTTTGGTGCTCTGTCGCTGCTTGCAGAGAGCTTTGGTTCGATTTCATTGTGGGGAGAATTTTTGTGAAGTATATTCCTGGTTTTTTTACAAGGGTGTGACATCATTCTCAGCTCGGGTTGACCTTGACTGGCAGGGTGTAAGCCCACTTCCGTGATGATGTATGATATGGCAATTGGGAAATTAAACACTTACGTTCTTTTCAAATTCTAAAAAAGCGGGTGGTTGGAGGGCACCACTGGTAGGTCCTACTTTCCTCACTTTTCCTCTGTTGTTTCTGTCTATCTGTCTTACTTTTCCCAGCACTAAATAACCATTATTTGTGTCGATGTGCTTCTCTTTACTCTAACAAACAAAACAAAAGGAAAACAAAAGAGAAGGTTCCTTTTGCTAGCACTCTGTCTTGCCTTTTGTGCGAAATTGAGTTAATGACTTGTGACCGAAATCCTTTCAGATGCAGCGATTGAGCAGATGAGACATGTTGTGACGGCCCTGGAAACAGAGGCCCAGTCCTCGAAGCAGCAGCTGTGCTCAGCCAGGCTTCAGCTGAGGGAGTACGAACTCCATATGGAAGAAATGCAACTCCAGTTCCTGTCGGAGGAGGGGCAGGGGGCCCCCGTGGTCATGCGGAGCACGATGGAAGACCCATCGCTCGGCGACGGCAACGGCAACGCCAGCAGATTGGGCGACCCAACGGGTGTGTTTTCTTTGGTGATAACGCCAGTAAATCCGCCTTGTCGTTTAGTTAGAGTTGTAAAGTCTCTGACGCACTTCCTGAGAGGGAAGCTCACCGGGAAAAGTAAGTATGGTGCGCCCGCGCATTTTTTTCTTCTTTCACTGGATGTTGTCCCCTTGGAAAGTTTTCTCTAACATGGTGGAGTGGAGGCATTTCGTCCCGACGCGAGACGCGAGGAGAAGGGAGCGAGGGACTCTTTTTATATATAGAAGGTTTGTCGTTTTGATGAGAATGTCTCATCAAAGTTTTGTTTCGTTCTCGGAAGGGACTTGTGATCCAAGCAAGAACAAGTCGCGACCTCAGTGCTTTCTTGTGGTATTCCGTTTTTTTAAACAGTGAAGATGTGACTTACATCTTCTTAAGACTTTGCAGTCACACTGCCAGCAGTACAAAATACCCAACCGCTGGGGCAGTGCCACTGACCGAAGTTGTCTTTAGGCCATGCCATTCTCAAAGGGGGGATATTAACATGTTCTTATGCACAGTAGAATTGTAAATGGGTTGATTTATCAATGTCATGCTCGTACTGTGCTGGACCAACATAAGGGGAGCTGCTGTTTTTTCTTTCCTCATCTTTAGTATCGTTATTTCCTCTACTTTTGTGTGTTTGTCACTCTCCTGTGAGCTGCTGTTTCCGGGGTGCCTTGATAGTCGTAAAACCTTACCAAAACAAACTCAACAAAGTTTTGTTTTGTTCTTGGAAGGGAATTGTGTTTCAAGTGACACCAAAAAGTTTCCTGTTCTGATGGACTGGGCCCAGTATGTTGAAATATATAAACAAAACACTGCAGTTTCCTCATTTGTATGGTTTTGTATTGGCTGCATGTTCTCCAGAAGTATTTTGTCGAAATTCTCAAACTCTAAATACCCCCCGGGGCAGTGCCACTGACTGAAGTGTCTTTAGGCTATTCCCAAAGGGGGGACATATCTCGTTCAAGCATAGTAAAATTGTAAATGGGCTGACTCATGTCACGCTCATAACTGTGCCTGATCTACAACAGGGAACTGCTGCTTTTTCTTTCCTGATCCTTACTATTGTCATTTCCCTCTACTTCTTTTGTATGTTTGTCACTCTCTTGTGACCTGCTATTTCCGGGGTGCCTTGATAGTCGAAGCAGACCTTGTGCTGTTGAAGCTAGAGAGGTGAAAACTTCTCTGTTGACACCCACCCCTTGGCGCTCATATGACCTTATACAGTTGCGAGCGCCGCAAAACCCTCTACTATAATGAAAAAGAAAGAAAAAAGTCGAAATTCTTAAGCTCTAAATGTTGGGAAAAGAAGAAAAACAAGGCAAGAAAAGATGAATAATAGTATAATAACTAGTAACAATTTTTTAAAGAAATGAAAGAGTTATTTCTCTCCCCTGAAAAAAAATTGTTTGCTTTCTGGGCTAAGAAAATTTGAATAGCTTGCCGGCATCTAAAAAAACGAGACCATGTCACTCCATTATTAAAAGAACTGCATTGGCTCCCTGTAAAAGAAAGAATAATATTTAAAATCTGCGTCATGTGTTTCAAATGTGTAAATACAACTGCTCCTTTTTTATCTACAAGAACTTATCAGTATATATAAACCAGGGAGAAATCTAAAATCATCAAACGATAACACCCTACTTGTGACACCTGTAAAATCATGCAAATCATATGGAGAGAGATCTTTCTCATATCTTGGTCCATTTATGTGGAACAGATTACCCATGAAACTAAGACAAATAAAAACACTTGATAGCTTCAAAAGACATCTTAAACATTTTCTGTTCCTACAGGCCTATCCTTCATAAGCTTTTAACGTTATCTTTCATTATAGTTGTTCTGTTCCTATGTCAGGATGAAAATAGTCTTTGTGTGTGTGTGTGTGTGTATGTGTGTGTGTGTGTGTGTGTGTGTGTGCATTAATGTATATTGCATGAGAAGAAAGGAAGTAGTAAGAAAGGTTTTTGAAAAATGGGTATTCCAATGTAAAGCGCATTGAGCTACTTTTTTTTGGAAATGCGCTATATAAATGTTATATATTATTATCATTATTATTGTTATTATTATTATTATTATATTATCTAAATCTTATCCTTTAGTTAGTCTCATAATCTCTAACTCTCTTCCTCAAATGGAACCTGACGGGGAAAGGTAAGAGTAAGTACGTATGTGTCTATTTCTGGATGTTGTGCCGTAAATGTTCATTTTGTTGTAATGAAGTGTTTACACCATCGTCGTGGAAGCGGTTTTCTTATGTCATGTAGCCTCTTGCATTTCATGAAATCTAAATGATAAGAGTCTTGACGTTCAACCTCTTCCCTTTGAGAAGGTATTCATCTTGTTCCTCTCTTTCCCCTGCTGCTGTGTTTTACCACTGGAAATGTTAGTCTCTACTTTACTACGTGCTATTTGCTTAATTTCAAAGCCTGCGGTATTTTTGTTTGTCTGTTTGCTTGTGCCAAGGTATTGTTATAGGCTTAAGATTTTACCTTTCGTTTATAAGATTATGTCTTGAAATATTAACTCTTGTTTTAGTATTTGGGGAAGAATAACCTTTGTTTGATGCTTTTGCAGATCACAAACTTAAAGTTAATGGGTGGTTGGCGGGTGCTCTGGTGTGGTTTGATTCTTCTTTCCTATCAAACATCTCTTGTCTTGTCTTTATCTCCCCTCCTTCTTTTTTATGTTTGTTACTCTCTTGTAACACCTCTAATGTTCTGTACTAATATGACCATATTGTGTTAGAAATGCTGTAAAACACTTACTAAAGCTAAAAAACTAAAGCAGATCACTAACTTAAAGTTATTACCATGTTGTTGCATATTTGCATTAATTATTGTTTGTAGTAGCACGACTTTTAGTTCAAAGTCAGAAAACATTTTTATGACGTTTGATTTTAAATTATGTTTCCCGCAGCAGATTTGTAATACAGTAATGAATGTGTATGCTTTTCTTTTTGACTTGTTTTATCAGAAGGGCCGAGAGACGGGGACTTTAATGTGACTCTGCACATGCGCGCGGCCGGTCTGGAGGCTCCCCCCCCACAAGTCTGTCCGCCCAGTGGCGCGGCTCACGGTGGTGAAGGCCTCGAGGAGTGGCAGACGAGGACAGCTGTGCCAGACTCCTACGACGATCTGGTTTGTTCATGATATATATACACTTTTGCTGGTGTGGGTGTGTGTGTCTATGTGTTTGTATGTGAGTTTCGTGTGAGTGAGTGAGTAGTCAGTGAGTGTGTGTGAGAGAGAGAGAGAGAGAGAGTTCCTGCAAATGCAGACATGGGCAAACTACGGCCCACCCGCGGCCCTCAGACCCTCTAGCAGTTTCAGTCCTGTCAGCGAGTCGATCAAGTAATTTATGAATAAATGAATGCCACCCACGGTGAATTGATCATTTATGGAAACAAAAAAAAGTTGTCAATACAGTCAATAGTTTCCCGCCCAATTGAAAAAAATGGCACTCGACTTTTGTCTCAGTACACTGTTGTAGAGTAGAGTAATCATGATGTAACATGATAAGTACCTACTTTCAGTATTTCATAACGAGTACTGTAATGGTCAGTACATCGGTATCGTTGAGAGCAAGAAAAGAGTAACACACACACACACACACAGAAGATAAACAACAAAGGTGTCTAGCCTACGGCAGCACAAGTCACAGTCATGTAAAGTTTAAGTCTTGTATTAAACTCTGGAACACAACCCGAGAAGTTGTTTCATTTATTATTGTTTAATGTTGTTGGTGTTCGCAAGTAGAATACACAACATACACCTTCTAGATGGAATGTTGCTATTGGGAGGAAAGAATTGTTTTGTTCTCCTTTGATCTAGTTTGTGGAAGGCCATGTAGAACATCTCTTCTTTCATTTGATTCTGTGGACTTATTTGACGAGTTAAAAACTTAAAGTTGGTCTGCGGTTGGTACTGCAAACAGTTAAAGGATACCGAATGACTGGCGAGCCTCAGCTCGGTCTGACGTTGTGTCCTTGGGAAAGGCACTTTACACGAACTTCCCACTTGGCTCGCTACTTTCGGAGACGGACCTTAAACTAGGAGGTCCCGCCCCTTAAATAACCTAATAGTTTTGATAGGGGCGTTAAACCTTCACCATTTCACCAAATGTCTGGTGACTGCAGTTTATGGTATATATTTGAAACTAAAATGATGGTGGTTCCATTCTGCTGAACTAAATTTTCTGTGAAGGGTTTATATTGAAAGTTTTTAAAAATTGTATTTGTTACAAGTTGAAATTTTGTTGCTATCGTGTGTATGACGTTTTAGCTTTTTTTTTTTTTGGAAATGTTTGCTTGATATTTGATTCCTCTCCTGACCTCTTTGACCATTTTCCCTTTTCTTTCTCTCTACAGAGAGGTGCAAGAGGAACTGTGCTGTACTTTCCATTGGTGAGTCTCGTTAAACACTTTCTCTCATGGCTCACATGTCCTATATTTTAGAATTATTGCTATAGCTTGTTCATTTTGTCTGCCTGCATTAAGAAAATTCTTGCTCATTTATTAATTTGCTAATGCGCACGTAACTGCAGGACAAAGTATAGTCTTGGTGAGGATACATCAACTTTTTTATGTTTTAGGTTATTACTTTTTACCCTCCTTCAGGCAAACTTCAAAGAAACTGCTCCTGGATTTTAATTTGCGGTGACCTCCATTAATGTGCATTAATTGTATTGGTCATCCAACTTTTAGATCCGCGTGCAAAGACCAGTGGAGATTAAAGAGAGATTTGTTTTTAACCCATTTTGACCGTGGACTCGTGAAAGTGAAGAAGCTATAGATGGCTTGGTTTATGTTGTATTGTGTAGTTAAATATTTGACAGGAAAAATGCGAGTTACATTTCTGCATGATGGACTGGGAAAATAGGTTTACTTGTTTTGATCTAATGACCCATTTGATGATGTTTTTGTCATTTTTAGATTTAGTACCGAAAGAGGGCCCCTGGCGCAGTGGGTTTACCCCCCTCGGAGATAAAGAGATAAATAAATGGACTTGAGACGTACATACTGCTGATGTGTTTCCTCACCACTGAATTTTTTGTTTCCTGAAAACAGTGGATTTAAAAACACTTAATATTTTTTCCCCACCTCTTCTGTAATGATCAACAGGACAAGAACGGCCCAGTGTATCCACCCCCTCGACTGTCTTTGGACGGCATTCCCTCGCGGCGTGTCTCCGGATCCTTCCCCGCCTCCCAAAGCTTCCACCGCGGCCACGACCTTGAGCTGCAGCCGCCAACGTCTTCCAGTTTCTCCCATCCAAACGAGGAAAACGTCCCGCAACAACTGGCGCCCACTCCCCAACCCGTTCGCTACGGTCTGCCAGTTGGTCGTCTTCAGCAAACTGTTTCTCTCGCATCACCACAGAAACACAGCAAAATATTCAGTAGGCCATAATAATATGTGGACCTTGACTGTTGCTAGCGTGCCTTAAGCTTCCTCTGTATGGTATAATATAACGAAAAACAAGGGAGGCAGTCTGCTTATATCATGACTGATATTGTTTCGTTGTTTCAGGAAGCAACATCCTTGCATTCCGGACCTGTGTCCATTGATGCTCCGTTGCTCTCTCCAAAATGCCGCTGAGGGTCTTTCCTTTGATTGTGCCAGTGCATGTCTGGTTGAACGTTCTTCTGTTCTTTCCTGCAAGGTGTGCCAGATTTTCCGCTACCTTTCTGTACTCCCTATGGCAGTGATAATAATACTGGTATCGGTTATGTTGACTTCTTCTCTGTCCTCCGAAAAGTGCAATCTGCTGGAATATTTGCATACGAGCGGTCGCTCCCCGGTGGTTTTTATTTTATGCTTATTTCAGGGACTACTATAGACTTAAGTAGTCCCAGGCTTGTTTGTTCAGGTTTTAGTATTAGTGTAGAAATTTATATGATGCGAGGTGCCCTCCTGTTTGCTTTGATCTATACACATTGTGTAATATGTTTTTCCGAGAAGTGTAGTCGCTTTGTGAATATTCTTATACAAATATTCTATGCTTGGACCAGTTATATGTGCTAATAAAATGAATTTGCATATATATATTTATATATGGTTAGAATGTGACAGATTTGTTTTATGTAATAGAAATCTCAGCAATAATCAATAAATATTTCTCCATAAGGAGATTGAAAAGGGAGGGGGTGGAGGGTGCTGAAATCACCTTCCTTTTGGGACCAATGGTGTTTCCTACTGGGTTTTTAAAACTTAAAATCCATATCCCAGTTCTTAGTTTATGTACGGGAGCGTGGTCACAACTATATAATATAGAAATGAGCACACAATTTATTTTGAAATGTCTGTGTTGGCCATAGTGCACAAGAATATTTGAAGGCTGTGCTGTTGTATGTACGGCTAATGGAATAAATTACTTTGACTGTTTTTAGCGTGGATAGCTCTCCATCAGCTTACTAACCTGTCGTTTTATGACAAAAAATGTATGCGTAATTAGGTTATATAGCGTTTTGATACGGGGAAGAAAGACTTTTTCTTGGTGCATCTTTTTATCTAGGGTTTTATGGCTGTTTAATTAAAATTTGAGGAAGTTTTGAGCTTTTGAAAATATGTGTTGTGTGACCAAATTAGATAACGATATTGTTATGACAAGTAATTCTACTCAGTTACTCAATAACTACTCACTGTATACCTCAGCAAATCAGACAAAAGTTACACTGGCCAATGTATTTTGACATAAAATAATCAAACCAACCAAATTTTAATTAAGTTGAAACACACAAAAAGTTAGTTGTTTTTTCCTCCCCTCTTGTAAAATTTCATTTTTGGCATAATTATTAATATACGGTTTTCTGTCATAAGACGGCAAAAATGTGATGTAGACAAAAAAAATCCACACTTTAATAAAAAAATTAGTTTCTTTTCATATTCCTGAGTAAACATACAGAACCTTAGTATCGGGGATAAACTAGTAAATCTCTAGCTTGAATAAGTTATCACTCCCCTTCTAGATCTGCGTGTCTGTATAGTGGTGAGTAGTTTTATTTGATTTTCCTCCTGGAAAAGGTTACAGTAATATAGTGGTCACTATTTTTCTGTTTTGGCAATGTCCATTCTTTCTTTGAGCTTTTGTTAACTTTTTAAAAACTTCTCTCGATATAACCCTGTCTATTGCACAAATTGAAATATAATATTTGTGATTTCTTAGAGTTGTGGAATTTTGAGTTGTGAGTTTTTAAAGAAAGTAATTGTGAGGCATGCTGATGAAATGAGTTGCAGTTTGGATTTTAGCCGTATGGACATAGGTACGTCAAATGTATATGTTTAGTTTGTACAGTTTATTACAATCAAATGACAAAAGACATTTGTCATTTGAAGCAAATGGATTCTTTTGAAAATCGACAGTTTTCACCCTTGTGACGATTTTTGGCCGATATCTCCATTTGCGGGCCGCGAGAAGTGACTCATTTTGTCAGCGTGCCCAATAAGTGCCTCGATCACGTTCATGAACTGTTGTAAACATATGTTGTTTTAATGTGGGTTTTAGATCTGTGACAGTTTCACTTTTTGTTTGTTTGTTTGATGATGTACTGGTAAACTGACTTTTGTGGTTTGGTTTCCCCTAAAGGCATGGGTTGACCAGGATTGAAACGTAGAATGATACTACCTAAAATCTGAAACACAAACTACTTCAGAAATTCTAGATAGTCTCTTTTGTAATGAAATTCTTTTCACAACTCAGTCAGCTGTCTGGTGCATTAATGATAGTTGTTGATAGTTTTGTGTACTTATTCAATTCTCTAAGTTGTTGATAGTTTTATGTGCTTCTTCTGCCTTTGAGAATTGAGTTGCCCTCTGAATTCTGCCAGTGACTTGCCATGACAGAGAGAACATTTTCTTTTCAATGTTTTGTGTCAATTACTTGGTTTTAGGTTTATATATATATAGAATCTAGATCTAGTTTTTTGGGGGGTTTTTTGGTTAAATTTTTCTTAACTCACTGCCTCCCTGACATTTAGTAGCGGCGGTTTCAATGCGTACTTTGTAAGAAATGACAGGACACAACTAGCTGGCCTTTGGTCACAAATGTGGCTGTTATAATTATGCCATGGAAAAAATTCTGAACTCTGAAACTGCAACATATGTGGCCCGGAGGGTTGGGAACTATGGTACTTGTTTTTTTTCGTCCATGTCTTCCCCTCAAAACTATATTTGGAGACCGGAGTGGTGAATGTGCAGCAAGACTGTCATAATAAGTGGTTTGTGTATTCTGGAGGCTCAGATTTGTGCCATGTCTGGGGAGGGTGCGGTTTCAAAGCTGCAGCCGTTGACCGATCTGTGACTTTATTTTGGTCCAACTTTCCTACCTTATTGTTCTACCAGTATGTTTAGTGTTGGGCTGATGTGAATTGTTGGTATTTTTAGGGGAAAGGGGGGGGGGGGGGATGAGGGGGACCATATGTGAAATTCATGAGGTACTATGTCTTTGACTACTATGTCTTTGACTACTATGTCTTTGACTACTATGTCTTTGACTACTATGTCTTTGACAATGAAGAACTGCCTGCATGATGTTCCAGTTTTTTCTTTTTATCTTCGTTCTCTAGAAGTACCATCTACCTGTTTGAAGGAAAAAACAGGCAACTTGATTCTTTCACCAAGAAAACATTGTACATTGTTGTGTGGTTTTGGATAATGAGAGACCTTAGAAAACTTGTGAATGTACAAAAGGAAGCAAAACACAGAGTGGAAATGTACAAATAATTTTTTTAATTAACTTAAATTATGAAGCACAGTCTGAATGTTTTTTCTCTCAGACACGCAGTCGAAAGGGTCTGTGTGTTTACAACAGTGGCGCGTTGATGGTGATCAGAGGGCTCTACCCCGAGTCTTTATTTCTGATTTATGTTCAGGAAATACAAGAGTTTGTCTTGTGATATTTATTTTTATTAATCTTGCTGCACGGATTGAGTCTTAAAAATTTTTTTTTCTTTTTGTAGGTGTTAGGCGGTTGATCTGATGTGACTTGCTCCTTCGTTCCTATCAAATATCTATCGTTTTTACCTCTCCGCCTTCCTTTCTTTGTATGTTGCTCTCTAGTCACGCCTTTAATCTCCAGTGCTTTATTACGACCTAACTGGGGTGCAAGTGCTGTAAAACTCTTATTAACACTTTCCCCCCACGCAGCGTGCAGAGCGCACAACATTTATTCCCACAGACCAGGATACAGGCACGGTACACGCTACATCACACCGGCGCCGATCGGCGTCCCGTGGGGGCATAGTGGTAAAACCATACAAGAAATCTCTCTGTTTCTGTCCAGGAACTACTACAAATACAAGAGTTCATCTTCTGATATTTGTGAGACTTGCTGCACCGCGCGGGTCTTTTTCATGTTTTTTCAAATATATATGTATATTTTTGTGTGCCTTTCTCTGCGGTAGAGATATTTTTCATTCGTGCTTCCAAATTGCTAATTTGGTTTCTTTTTGTATGGAAACTTCGGGTTTCAAGTGCCTTTGCCTGCTCTTGTATTGTACAGGTGTCCGACTGTGATCTTGCTCAATGGTTGGAGAGTCAGGAGGTTGGTGTAATGGTATTATTTCCCTCCTCATGGAGGGTACTATCTGTGAATCTTGTTGTCTGACAGTTCGCTGAGTCTAGTCCGATGTTTATAAGTCTTCCAACTTTTTTCTCAATACCAAATAACTTGACACCCCCCCACTCCCCCCCAATGGCAGTTTTTGACAGGGGGACAGTCAATGGAGAAAAATTTCAGTGTTTCTGTCATTGATATAATGTATGTGTGTTTGGCGAATGTTTATATTGGTACTGTGTCTTATGTGGCAGTGCTGTGTTTGGCCTTCCGTATTGTGGAAACGTGGGTGGTTGGCAGGTGCTCTGGTGAGGTTTGAAGTAAGTCATCTGTTTGTTGGGTGCATCTGTCAATCTAATACATTGGAGTCATAATTCTGAATGGGGAAAAGCAATAAGTAGATTCATCGTGTTGTCTTTCTGCCGATATCTATTAGTTGTTTGCCTTGTTAGGTTCCTGATTCTTTCAATTCAAAATACTCAAAAAGACTGAAAAGCATTTGCTGGTTTTCAAAAGTGACACAGTGAGTCTTGGCCATACTTTTTCTTGCGTGTATTGTTGCTGCCTGCTGTTTTCAGTTGTCAAAATTCTGTATCTGGTGCCTTTGGGGTTTTTTTTAAATTCCAAAATTGTATTCAATAAGATAGATAAATCTTTATTGTTCACATGCTGGTGATCATTGATTTGGTGTCTCACCACACACACGCATATGCGTGCATACACACGCACGCATGCGCACAAACCTATAAAAACACACGCACACATGCACACAAATCTATAAAAACACACACACACACACACTCACAGACCTAGAGTCCCCCACTTATGATATGAAAAGATTGTGTAAATGAACAATTGGAAGACAAACGTTTTCCTCCCTCCGCCACTGGGGAATGTATTTATCTTTTCATTTTTCTGTGATTTTACCTCTGTATTTGTATTTCACTTTATGTCACATGTTTTTCACGTCACCCTTGGTGAGATTGGTGAGATTTGTGAGATTTGTGTTACTTTGGAGAACACAACTTTGATAATAT